GGTTTTCTTTGACACTTGGTCTGTTTTTCTCATTTCTTGGTTTGTTTTCTTGGTTTTCTTTTTTTCTTGGTTTTCTTTGACACTTGGTCTGTTTTCTTCATTTCTTGGTTTGTTTTCTTTGTTTTCTTTTTTCTCGATTTTCTTTGACAATTGGTCGTTTTTTCTATTTCTTTGACACTTTTTTTTTTGGCTGTTTTATTTGACGCTTGGTCTGAGTTTTTTTCTATTTTTCTTTGTTTGACACTTGGCGGCTTTTTTTTTTTTCTTGCACTTAGACAGTTTTTTTTCTATTTTTCTTTCTTTTGTTACCTTTTTTCGCTGTTTCCTTTTTTTTTTCTTTTTTTTACAATCTGTTTTTGTTTGTTTGTTTATGAAGCTCAAATGTTTTCTTCTCACACTGCTTTGTTTGCTCTATCATATTTCAGTTGCTTCCCTTTGATAGGCAGTTAACTGTACTTCACTCTTTTACAATCACCAATTTTGCACAGGTGCAACGACAGAGTAGCAACCACTCTAAAATAAGAAAATAAATAGTATGAAATGTTAAAATCGAGTGACAAAATATTTACTCTACCCATCCCTCCCCAGGGAGGTCCCAGGCCATTTTCCTCTAACCAGCCCTCCCCAGCAGGGTTTAATCCACACCAAGATTTTGATTTCCAGGATAATTGAAAACTGAGTTCAGCCTTTTGAAATTGAATTTAAAGTTCGATTTTTAATTTCTAACTTTCCTCGTCATCAAAATTCTGTCAATTGTTTAAAAAAACTATGATTTGGAACGCGATTTACGTCGTTGATAATGAAATTTTGATTTTTAATTTCAAACAAAAATCAAATGAACGAAACACCAACTGACCCCACCGCTTTAAACTATTATTTTTTCGAACTTCCACTATGCTTAATATTCATTTGGTCCTCCCGGATTTCCGATTTTTTGATTCAGGAAACAGAAATCCAGAATCCTCCGTCAACTAATTAAAAAAAGGAATTAACAAAAGAAATCAAGCTAAAGAATTGCTAACAGCCGGTTTTCCGTTTTCTTATAAACCAGTCTGAAATAACTCTTGAACGATTTCTTGTTTTCCGATTCTATCAGGTTGGCAAAATATCCACTCGCTCGCTTCGCAGCAGACACTCATCAGAGATGTCGACTTCGGGCAAGGTCTAGATGAATCTAGAGCGCACCAGGAAATCACTAGTCCGAGAGGACCGAGAGACAATTACATCTTTTAAAAGAATGTGGATCAATATTTAAAGGAATTAGAAAATAGTTAATACACACCATGCCACCGTTCTTCATCATCCAAGGAACAATTCTTATCCTCAGAACATCTTCAACAACTTCCTCAATGTCGGACATCATCTGCTTGAAGTTTCGCATGTACATCCATCGTAGATAAACGAACTCCGCGCAGATCTGGATCACATCCAATACATCATTCCATCTGTACTTTTCTGTTGATATTGGGAAACATTTGTCGATGAAATTCCCAAAAGCGAATTTTAAAGCAAAAGTACCATGGAGCTTCTTTACGACCACTTTCACTCTGTCATGCGAGTGACTTCCGCCATTGACGAGATGCTTTGAAACGCAGTCAGTCGTCAACAACATAGGCGATTTGACATTTCTGCATCCAGATCTAAAATCCAAATACCCATAGATTATCATCTTCAAACTAACTCTCGTTTCGTACTCTGCAAGCAACTTGGCGACATCGTTGCGACCGATGGTGATTGAAAATTCCTTAAGAAGTTTCACGTCCTGATATGAAATGACATGTTGGTCTTCCAAGACTTCGAATATTTCTAGCATACTCTTAACAGATTTCGGCAGAAAACTGCTACAATAAAAACGAAATCTTTCCTTATCTTGCGTAGTCAGATGCTGATCGACTAGCAAAAGGATCTGTCGAAATTGAGTGCTAAAGATATTGTTCATCAAGGTTATTTTTTGATGGAATGAAATAAAGCAAACCCTCACCCCCGAGAAGAAAACAAACCAAGCGACGACGAAGGCCAGGGGTGTGTTTTATATATCGAAGAATGCATGATGGGATACGGGTATTCCCCCTTCCAGTCTTTACACAGGGAGCCCGGCTTTGGAATTTGTACACGAATAAATAAATCAGTAAAGTACTTTGTCAAGCGTGAACACGTAGGTCATTAGTGACGATTCGAACATTCATAATGAAAACGAATTCTTCGAAAGCCTAAGCAAACAATAATCGTACGATTGATTTATTGTTTATAATTAAATTTATTATTTAACAATTATTCACCGAAGGCAAAGTGAATATCGGGGAGTAAATATTCCCCGACATTCACTGAGCCTGATGTGAATATTTTTATATTTTCAACACAAGTGAATTTAATAAATAACGGAGAAAAAGTGTTTTTAAAATTAGTATTTTTACAGGAGCAGGGTCTGGGTACGATGGAATGACTTCTCTTTGGAATAACAGTTACCATGACAACAGCAAATCCAAAATGGCAGGAAAAAGACGCTTGATTTGTCGTTCATCGACTTTAAAGATTAAAAAGCCCAATAATTACTGCGTCAAAATCTTATAAAACGTTATGGATTGGAAGATAATGTCCTTTGAATTATGAATACCAAGGTAGAAGAACAAGAACTGCCCAAACAGCGTGATTTATTGGCTGGGAAGAAGTATCGTGATTCGATCAAAAAGTGGGGCGAACCGAATAATCTGCTTCGAAAAAGAGTCATTATTGTGCCAAGTATTGCTTGTGAAGCTAGAGACGTTGATATACGAACAAGTGATACTCATTCTAAAAAAGATTCTTTGCTTTTGAAGTCTGATTCAGCTTCTGTTTCCAACTCCAAGCGATCGCTCACAGGTGACAATTTAACTCAAGTTTCTATAATTTTAAATTTATTATTAAGGCTTTTCCACATATTAAACTATTAGAATAATTACAATATCTTAAATTACTGTTCTCTGGAAAGCACAAAAATCTGAATTTAAGATATCTTTGCTTATTATAAGTGCTAGGTCTTAAATTCAGTTTTCTGTGTTTCCCAGAGGACAGCAATTCAAGATATATAAATATACTTTTAGAGTGAAGCTTAAATTGGAAGTAATAGCTTAATTAACTTTTAGCTAATGACAAAGATTATTCCAACCCAGTTTTAACTAGACTAATACCTGAACAGCTCAACCCCATAATAATGCAGCTTATGGATTTAGTTAAGCATATTTTCTTGGTTGTTCTAGGAGAAACTTCAGGACCATCTGCGGCCAGAATCGAAAATCATAAAGCATGGCTGGCAGAGAGGAAAAAATTAAGGTCCCTTTTAGGAAAAACTGGACTAGAACAAAACTGGTTAGAAAAAAAGAGTGGGAAGACACCTCTTGAGTTGCGTGTTCTGAAGAGAATGAAAAGAGGAAATACCCCAGAGATAAGAGTTAGGAGAGTGGTAAGTATATAGGACAAGATAATCAGATGTTGGGGTAGAGGAGTAGGGTGGGGGNGGGGGGGGAGGGGTTAAAAGTCTTAAAATTAAAAATCTTAGAAATAGTTGGCCAATGTTAGTGAAAATTCATCTACTCCAGAGATAAGAGTTATATTTTAAAAATCACTTCTCCCACATGGAGCTCTTCCATGAGGTTCTCTCCACACACTACCACTACATTCTACATTTACAACTTACAACACTCAACACTCAACTTCACATGCTTTTTACGGAGAGAGGAAACCGGAGATCCCGGAGAAAACCCTCGTGGCAAGGGAGAGAACAACACATCAAATAACCACAACTCACATGATCCAGTCTGAGCCAGGTCTTCAACCCAGACCACAGTGGTGAGAGGCGAGCGGTAAAGCACTATGCCACCCATGCCACCAATGCATATCAGGGTAGAGGAGAAAGGTAGAGGGACAAAGTAGGGGGGGAGGTGGGGGACAGAGCAGGGGGGGTTTGAAAGTCTTGAAATTGAAAATCTTAGAAATATATATGGTGAATGTTAAGTGAAAATTCATCTACTCAGGTTTGACAATGATAGTGAATTAAACTTTTGTGACCTTCAGTAAAAGTTGAGAATTAAACAATACATCTTAACCAACTTGTTGTTTGGCTTAAATTTATCCCATTTTTTTTAGGATTTACTATCATCTACTTTTGGAAACTGTCAATTAAAAAGTTTGAACAGGGGGGGGGGGTGGTGTAATTGTTGGCTTCTAGTTATGAAATTTACCACGTGGAAAAAAATTACCAGCTTCAGAACCTAAGTGGAAATTTTCCTTTCCTCTAATTTGTTTTTGTAGAGAAACAATAACACTGTACCTCCCTAAAATCCCCTAAAATAAAAGAATGCCTTTATGGCTTTCAAAATCAATTTGAACCTTTAAGTGCTTACACCACCTAACTTCATATTTTCATTATTGATTTTACATAAAGTGAATAATTGAATGGTAAAATTTTTTCATATGATTTGAGTGATGCATCTTGAAGATATCAAGGTTTATACTTCCAATATGTTAATGATTGTGATGTCATTATAGGAATTTGAGTTTGCTTCTCATCATTTTTAAATTGCAACACTGATTACTATGAGAAAACAAATTTGCTATTAAAATTTTTTGTATAAACCCTGAGTAAGACAATGATGTTATATACAGGATATTTTGCTGCCCTAGAAAAGTTTTGTATATTTAATCATGCCTATAATGACATCACACTC